GGTCTCCAGTACTGTGTACAATACTCCTAGTGAGGTCTCACCAGTGTTCTGTACAATGGCATGAGCACGTCCCTCTTTCTACTGCTAATACTCTCCCTATACAACCAAGCATTCTGCTTGCATTTCCTGCTGCTCTATTACATTGTCTGCCTACCTTTAAGTCATCAGAAATAATCACCCCTAAATCCCTTTCCTCATATGTTGAGGTTAGGACTCTTATCAAATATTCTGTACTCTGCCCTTGGGTTTTTACGTCCAAGATGCATTATCTTGCACTTATCCACATTAAATGTCAGTTGCCACAATTCTGACCATTTTTCTAGTTTACCTAAATCATTTGTCATTTGGCTTATCCTCTCCTGTTACATATCTTGTATCATCAGCAAAAAGACATAATTTTACCATCAAGACCTTCTGCACATCATCACTAATAAAAATATTAAAGAGAATGGGTCCGCACAGATCCCTGATACCCCAATTGGTGACAAGTCCAAGCTTTGAATATATTCCATTAACTACAACCTCTGTTGGCTCTTCGTCTAGCCACTGCCTACCCATTCAACAATATTGGAATTCAAACTTAAAGATTGCAGTTTATTGATAAGCCTTCTATGTGCAACAGTGTCAAAAGCCTTACTGAAATCTAGGTAAGCAATGTCTACTGCACCACCTTGATCTATAATTTTAGTTACCCAATCAAAAAAATCAATAAGATTAGTTTGGCATGATCTCCCTGAAGTAAACCCATGTTGTCTCTGATCTTGAAATCCATGTGTTTTTAGATGTTCATCAATCCTATCCTTAACATGGTTTCCATCACTTTCCCCACTACTGAAGTAAGGCTTACTGGCCTATAGTTGCCCGACTCCTCCCTATTACCTTTCTTGTAAATGGGCACAACATTCGCTAACTTCCAATCTTCTGGGACTACTCCTGTTAACAATGATTGGTTAAATAAATCTGTTAATGGTTTTGCTAGTACACCACTAAGCTCTTTAATAGCTTTGGGTGTATTCCATCAGGTCCCATTGACTTATTTGTCTTTACTTTGACAGTTGAAATAGAACCTCTCTCCAAACTCACTGTAATAAAATGACTAATTATCCTTTTCTCAACTGAGGTCCCTTTCCTTCATTTTCTTACCTGTAAATACACAGGGAATTCATTTTTCCTTCAATGATAGCAATCCGCCCAGGCCCTGACGCAGCAAAGCAGCCCCAAACCATGATGCCCCCACCACCATACTTCACAGTTGGGATGAGGTTTTGATGTTGGTGTGCTGTGCCTTTTTTTCGCCACACATAGTGTTGTGTGTTTCTTCCAAACAACTCAACTTTGGTTTCATCTGTCCACAGAATATTTTGCCAGTACTGCTGTGGAACATCCAGGTGCTCTTGTGCAAACAGTAAACATGCAGCAATGTTTTGTTTGGACAGCAGTGGCTTCCCATGAAATCCATTCTTGTTTAGTGTTTTACGTATTGTAGATTCGCTAACAGGGATGTTAGCATTTGCCAGTGACTTTTGTAAGTCTTTAGCTGACACTCTAGGATTCTTCTTCACCTCATTGAGCAGTCTGCGCTGTGCTCTTGCAGTCATCTTTACAGGACGGCCACTCCTAGGGAGAGTAGCAGCAGTGCTGAACTTTCTCCATTTATAGACAATTTGTCTTACCGTGGACTGATGAACAGCAAGGCTTTTGGAGATACTTTTATAACCCTTTCCAGCTTTATGCAAGTCAACAATTCTTAATCGTAGGTCTTCTGAGAGCTCTTTTGTGCGAGGCATCATTCACATCAGGCAATGCTTCTTGTGAAAAGCAAACCCAGAACTGGTGTGTGTTTTTTATAGGGCAGGGCAGCTGTAACCAACACCTCCAATCTCATCTCATTGACTGGACTCCAGTTGGCTGACATCTCACTCCAATTAGCTCTTGGAGATGTCATTAGTCTAGGGGTTCACATACTTTTTCCACCTGCACTGTGAATGTTTACATGGTGTGTTCAATTAAAACATGGCAACATTTCATTCTTAGTGTGTTATTAGTTTAAGCAGATTGTGATTGTCTATTGTTGTGACTTAGATGATGATCACATCACATTTTATGATCAATTTGTGCAGAAATCCATATCATTCCAAAGGGTTCACATATTTTTTCTCGCAACTGTATGTTTGGTAAATTATATCACCCACTTTAATGAACATTCGAAGGTGTTACAACAGTTTATAAAGGAACACTAAAGCATTCGGAATACAAAACTGTATTCATAATGCTTTAGTGTCCCTGACCCCTGTTTCCCATTAAAAAAAAAAAAAGAGAGAAATTAAAATGCGCTTACCTTTTTCCGGCCACCACTTCACCTCCCGTGATGGCATGGCCTCCTCCACGTTGGTCCAATCCAATGTTTCTAATAGAGGAGCATTGCAGACCTGATGCACATAAGCGCTGGGTGCCACAGGTGCATCCAGTGCCACATAAGTGCCTCTAGTGGGCGATATACTGACAACCATTAGAGAAGAATTTAACCATGAAATGGAAAAAAAGCAGTTTCTTAAAAATGACATTGTTTTATATTGCAGGGTTAAAATGACAGGACCACTGTAACCCAGGCCACTTCATTGAATTGAGATGAAGTGGCTTGGGTGACTTTAGTGAACCTTCAGTGAGATGTAAATAAAAATAAATACTATAGAGAAACCATAATGAACATGTTTAGAAGGTTTATTTAAAACATAACACTGTTGAAAATGCTCATCATGATAACAAAAATGCACTGACATTTATTTTGACCATATTTCTTACTCATAATTTGTTGTTAACACAAACATTCATATAATTTGTTTTAATAAGAATTTAATAAGACTGCACAAAATAAGAGAGATATGTAAAAAAGTGGGAAGTATATCCGCCATAGAATTCAATGGAATTAGCAGGAACTTTTCACAGATCCCAATCAGCGATTTTGACCTAAAGGGACACTATAGGCACCCAGACTACTGCAGCTCATTAAAGTGGTCTGGGTGCAGTGTCCTATGACGCTTAACCCTGCAAAGGTAATTATTGCAGTTTTTAATAAATGGCAATAATTAACTTTGATGGTTAACTCCACCTCTAGTGGCTGTCTACTAGAGCCTTTTGGTCGCCTGACGCTGGACGTCCTCACGCTATGCATGAAGACATCCAGTTTCACCCAAAACCCCACAGGAAAGTATTGTATATTGTATAATGCTTTCCTATAGGGGAAGTGCTAATGCGAGCGCAGAGATTGCCGCACATACGCATTAGGTTTCCCCCAACGGCTGACAGCGGGGGATTCAATTCACTATATTTCACAGTTTAGTTCATAATCTCCTCGGGTAGATAAGGATGTGAAACAGATGGAAGCAGCCTGCTTGAGCAAATACATTTTTTATTTTACCAGTCATGAGGGTTCCTGCTACTTGCTAACATGATTTTCTCTGCTCTGACACCTTTGATTGATAGCATGTCAGCTTTGTTTCTTTTTAACACTAAAAATTTCAGATTGTATTGGAGTCCATAACTAATTCTATTGCACTAGTCTGCAATACTAACAGTATGAAATAAAATGCTGTTAGCAGCTATTAGGAGGTTATACATGGTTCCTCTTGCACACAATATGTTGTATTCACTTAACACTATTGCAAAATTTAGGCTAAAATCTCTAGTCTGTGACTTTTGCTGAATTTAATATTTTTTTTAAATCTGCACTTTAGACTAAACTTTACAATCTATTACGATATGTTTTTTTTTTTTTAAATAAACAAAGGTTGTAATTTTAGTAAACCTCTCAATACGTTTTGATGATGAATCTGGTAATTGTTATAAATACACACATATATATATATATATATATATATATATATATATATATATATATATTTATTTAAAGCTGGGCCTGTAGTTGTGGGAGGGGCTTGGGTCCCCTATATAAGGGCTACCAACCCTCTCCCATTCTACCATCGCTGGTCTGGCGAGTGACTTGTTAATTACGATCCACTCGCTTCCCGCTGCCTTTTACCTAATTCCTCCCGTGGTGCCTATCCTGTCTGGGTGATTGTGTGTACATTCGCTGCACCCGGGCCGGCTGTTGTTGGTGTGATCCGGTGACCCCTGCTGGCCGGGTTGGAGTTTTCATTCAATGGTGCCTGTCTGTTTGCATGCTTTGTTTCTTACTGGTAAATCTGTCATGTTATTGGGGCCGCATCTCATGTATTTAGTATTCTACCCATAGGGGTGTCTCATGACCTATTGTCTGGGGCTCGTTCCTGTGTCTGACGTATCCTTCATATAGGTCTGTTTTAGGTTGGTGATTCGGTTCTGTCGACTGGCTTGGTCCTTTTTCTCCTGCTTGTTCGTTTAACGTCTCATGTTTCTATAGATGTACATACCACCTGACAGGCTCGTTTATCGGGGTCTCCCATTCATGGCTGCATCCCACTGTGTGGCCCCCCTCACTTCTAGGAGTGGGGTAGGTGTCTAGTGCTCGGGTCCACAATCTGGCCCACATATGCACGTACGTACCTATCTCATACACAGTTACAGTCTCACGTTTCGTCGTATGTTGGAGATACGTGTCCTCGCCTACCTTTCGCATTTATTCTGCTGTGAAGCTCCGTTAAGGATTGTACCCAGCACAGGTATGACATCAGGAGGTCCTATGTCTTTCCCTCCCCTCCCCCCCTTTAGTTTTTCTCCTTTAGTTGTTAGTACTGGCCTGAAGGGACATAGGACAGCCACATAGGTTATGTTTCTGGCTCTCTGACGTAATCTGCACCCATCGGAGGTACCCCTCATACTCGGTGGATGACGTCATTGGCCCAATGCATAATTATTCGCCTCGCATTGTTTCATAGGGAGGGCCTCACCTGTCACTTCCATTCTATCTTATGCTTTAGTATTCACCGAGAGGCCATCACCCTGCCATTTGCGTTTCCGTGGCATCTAACTCCCCTCAGACCAACTGATAGTTAGAGCCTCTCAAGCCGCTTGGCATTTGTCAGCCGGCCAGTACCTGATTATGTTTTTGCTGCATGTGATGCTTATGTATATGTATTTCAGTATGTCTCAGATTCCTGACGCTTTGGAAGAACTATTCCTTCCCTGAACCCCTGCTAGGTACGGCGCCCCTGCCCTGGGTACAGAGGCGGTTAGTCCAGCTTCCCTGAGGTCATGGAGTGTCCCGCGTCTCTCAACTGAGCTCCACAGACGGGGGATCCTGTTTCCGGCTACGGGTAGGAAGGTGGAACTCTTCAGGCTTCTGAACACTGATACTGACAACTCGGAGGCTGGGGAAGGCCCTAGCGGTTCCCAGACGTTCATGCCATGCTCACATCACTGATGTCTTCTACTGCACTTGTCAGTGACCAACTGGAGAAGTTGGAAGCGGTCTGTTCCTCTAGGGTGCCTGTGGGGTCAATCAGCCTCACCGGGTAACGACCTTATGTCTTCTCAGGCCCATGGTAACATTAACCCTTCGCATTTGGTCCCCGCTGCTCTAAAAAAGGACACCCTAGAGGGCAGGGGTGTCAACCTGGTCTGCTCCGGATGTCATAGAGAATAGGACTTACGCGTATGGGGATATATCGGTAGTGCTGAGGCCTAGGGACCCTAGGCTCAACAAAAAGCTGTCCATACCCGAATTTGTCCTGGGGTTCGGGATCTACCGAGACATGTACTGTTCAGTTTATCCGGGAAAAAGTGAGGAGCTGGATATCTACTTGCACAAGCTCATGGACATGGGGCACAAGTACGGTGGTTCAGCCTTCTATGACTACCAACGTTCCTTCTCCGTGGAGGTGGCTGCAGCTCTGGCTCAGTTTAACTGCAGTGTAAACTGGAGAAGGTTGGACACTGAGCTATTCTGCAGGCATTTTGCTGGCCTCAGGTCCCTGGTTTGTGCGATTTGTGCCTCTACGACTCACTCCACCAACTCACTGAGCATAGCCCTGTTGTCCCTAGCTCAGCAAGGTCTACCAAGGGTTTGAAAGATAAACTGTGCAGGAACATCGTGTATTTGTGCAAGGCCCAAGTTTGTAATCATTTTAATGCGGGGAATTGTGGGTTTAGTTCCTGTCGCTTTTTTTGCACGTGTGTGCTCACTGTTTCCAGGCCAGGACCATGTGCCCCAATAAACTGTTTCCCAAACCATACCTCACTTGCATCAATGTCCCGTTATTTGCTGATTTGCTCCGTCATCAACCCTCACAACATTTGGTTGATTTTCTCACCACTGGGTTGTCCATAGATTGCCCGTCGGTACCCTGGAATGCAGAAATTTGTGCACAACGATGGCATGCCCGGAGTTGGTGGGTGATTTGGTGAAATGTGAAGTGGAACAGGGTTTTGTGTTATGGCGTTTTAGTTCCCCCCCTTTTTCTTCATGGAGGACCAACCCCATTGGGATTGTCATGGGTAAGACATTGCTTAAACACAGACTGATCATTGATCTGTCGGCACCTCATTCCTCCACGGTCCCCAGTCTCAATTCACTTATTCCCTCCCATGAATTCTCATTTCAACACTCCATGACTGACAATGCTATCGGGGCAATCTTGGCTGCTGGGACAGGGGCTTGGCTCAGCAAAACCAACATCGTCATCGCGTTCAAATTGCTCGCCATTCTCCCCTTACTATGGCAAGTGGTTGGGTTTGTATTACTACTTCTTCTGGCTCACTTTCGGCTCGAAGAGCAGCCCCAAAATATTTGATTTTTTTGCTGAACCTTTGTGTTGGTTGCTGCTTAATGTGTGCAGATGTCCGACTGTGATTCACTATTTGGATGACTTTCTCACCATAGAAAACAACTCACTGCCGCCCTTCAGCCTGTCACGTGTGTAGACTCTCTTTGAATCCTTAGGAATTCCGGTCTTCCTAAAAAGAAGGAAGGCCCAGATACGGTTATTCTTTTTATGGGGATTCGACTAGATTCAGTACGCATGCGGGCAAGTCTTCCCCGGGACAAGATTGAGTGTAACATATCGAGCATTGAATTATGCTTACAACTGGGGTCTTGCAATTGGAGGGAACTTCAGTCCCTGCTGGGGTCGCTCAATTTTGCCATGAGGATCATTCCCCAGGGTAGATCTTTCAGCTTAAAGTACATGTGCGGTGAGCGCATTAGGCCCTCCCCATAGGAAAGCATTGATTCAATGTTTTACTACAGGGTTTTCACTGACACTGGGTGTCCTCATGCAGAGCGTGAGTATGTCTGGTGTCAGTAAGGCGACCTAAAGTCCGGTAAAATCCCAAAAGCAACTCTAGTGGTTTTCTGGTAGACAGCCACTAGAGGCTGTCTTAGTGCCGCAATGTAAACATTGCAGTTTCTCTAAAACTGCAATGTTTTACATTGAAGGACTAAGGGGTACAGGGGCACTGCATCCAGACCATTTCAATGAGCTGTAGTGGTCTGGGTGCCTATAGACTTCCTTTAAGGTCCTGCCACAGCATTCCAATCGGGTTGAGGGATGGGCTTTGACTGGGCTATTGCAACACCTTAATTCTTTTCTTTTTCAGCCATTCTGATGTAGATTTCCCGGTGTGCTTGGGATTCTTGTCCTGATGCACGACCCAATTTCAGTCAAGCTTTAGCTGTCAGACCGATAATTTCATATTTGAAAATTAGAATACTTTGCTATATAGAGGAGTTCATGGTCAGCTCAATGACTGCAAGGTTCCCAAGTCCTGTGCCTGTAAAACAAGATCTCCATTTTGGTCTTGTCTGTCCAAAGAACATTGTTCCAGATGTCTTGTGGTTTGTTCAGATTCAACTTTGCAAACCAAAACCGTGCTGCCATGTTCTTTTTAGAGAAAACTAGCAACCCTTCCAAACAACACTTGTTCAGTCTTTTTTCTAATTGTACTGTCATAAACGTTAACATACCAACCTAGGCCTGTAGATTGTGAGATGTAAGTCTCTGGTTTTTGCAATTTCTATGAACATTCCATGGTCCGACCTTGTGGTGAAGTTCCTGGAACATCCACTCCTGCTAAGATTGACAACTGTCTTGAATCTTTTTTTCGCTTTTGAATAATCTTTCATACTGTAGAATGATGGATGTTAAAATGTCTGGAAATGGTCTTATAACCCTTCAAAGTTTGATGTGCAGCCAAAATTGCATATCATTGCTGATGTATTTCCTCCTTGGAATTGCGTTAACACACACCTGAATGCTCCAGACCAGCAAACTGCTAAAGCGTAGGCGTATATAGAGATAACCACACATGCTGATGATCAGTTAATCAAGGGCATTTGATTGGCAGCACCTGTCTGCTACTTAGCCTCTTAATTCCTATGGAAGCAGTAAGGGTGCACTTAGTTATTCACACATGCCTTCTCTATTTTGGCTTTAGTTTTTTTTAACCCGTTAACGCCATTATGGCGTGCTATGCCGTCCCGGCGTTAATGGGCTTAAACGCCTTTACGGCGGCATAGTACGCTGCGGTGTTTAAGCCCACCCACGTTTCCCCGATCCCTCCCAAACTGCAGATCACAGAGGGGGGACCTGCCTGGCAACCCAGGCAGGCCCTCTGTGGCCAATCCGTAGTGATATGCAGTTTGTGATCGCAGTGACAGCCAGTCACTTCGATCACTGTTACAATGATTTTAAATCACTGGCTGACACATTGTCTCTGCCCCTCTCCTCACCTCACTTCGATCTGAGAGAGAGAGGCAGAGACATTGTTGCTGGAGAGCCCTGTAGGAGAAAGAATTGTCAAAAATAAAGAAAAAGTTAAAAAAAATAATTTTTTAACCCTTCCAGTGCTGGTCACAGCATTTAACACTGTGATCAGCCTGTTTAGGGATTTTAGTACATTTGTACTATTATAATATTTTTAACAATTTTTTTACCCTTTGTCAGCCGCAGCAACCCAAATCTCCCTTAACCCTTTCCCCGCTGCCGTGATCACTGTACTGTACAGTATCGCTACTGTACAGTATTGTACCAGTGATCACTGTGATCAGAGGGCTCTCTGATCAGGCTCACTTTTTGGGGGGGTTATTTTTATTTAAAAAAAATAAATAAAAAAAAATAAATTAACCCTTTCAGTACTGGTCGCAGCAGCCTAAACTGCGATCAGTACATTTATTTTATTTTTTGTGGGTTTTTGAGGGTGGGTAGTAGGGTGTTAGGCAGATAGGAATTTTGTAATTTCTCCCTTAGATTTTTTTTGATTAATTTTGAGTAGTCCCCCTTAGAATGGCATGTCGCTACTCGGCGGACAAGGCCTACGCCATTCTGGCAGGCAGTGATAGTGACACTCTGCAAGACAGTGACACTATCACTGCCTCTGACATTGAGGCTATGACTGACGCTCAGCAAGCCCAATGCCAGATGAAGACTGGGTGCCCCCAAACCTGACAGCCCCAGATATTCCCCCATTTATGGCGACCCCTGGCATCACTGTTATGGTGGATGCTTGTGAGCCCCTAAAATATTTTGATTTGTTCATTTTAGAGGAAGTATTTTAGTTATTGGTTGAGCCAACCAATATCTGACTGCGAATATGTGGCACCCCACGGATCTCGCAGAAATGTGCAAATTTTGAGCCCTAACTCTAGTTATGGGCATTGTCAAAAAGCCGAGTATCAGGTCCTACTGGTACAAGCACCCCATCCTGGCTACCCCTCTTTTCCCTGGGGTTATGAAGAGGGATCGCTATGAGCAGCTGCTGCGTTTCCTCCACTTCAATGATAGCACACAGTGCCCCCCAAGAAATGACCCATTGTTTGACAGGCTGTACAAAATTCGGCCCCTAATTGAACTCCTGTCAGACAAATTCTCCCAAAATTATGTCTCTGAAGAAAATATTTGTATAGATGAGTCCTTAATTAAGTTTAAGGGTAGATTACTTTTTAAGCAGTATATCCCTTCTAAACAGTCCCGATACGATGTAAAATTTTATAAATTGTGTGAATCCAAATTTTGATATACATGGGCGTTTTGTATTTATCAGGGGAAGGATAGCCATCTTGACCCACCAGGATGCCCTGATTCTGTGGGTACATGTGGAAAGATAGTATGGGACCCAATCCTTTCCTTGTTAAATAAGGGATACAGGCTATGGGTTGACAACTATTGCACAAGCATAGAGTTATTTAAAACTCTATTTTGCTTTGAGACCGTAGCCTGTGGCACAGTGCTTAAGAATCGTAGAGGTTTCCCCCAAACCCTGGCAAGAGGTAGACGCAGTAGAAGCTCCCTTTCAGCGCTCCGCCAGGATGAGTTGCTTGCCCTTCGCTTCACCGATAGGACAGATGTGTACATGTTGTCTACAACGCACAACGAAACTTCAGTGCCGGTGTCTGTGAGAGGTGGAACTGAGCAGCTGGAGAAACCGAAGTGCATTGTACACTACAGCAGGTTTATGGGGGAGTAGACTTGGCTGATCAGTGCATACAGCCCTATCTGGTGAACCGGAAGAGTAGGACCTGGTACAAGAAAATTGCAATCTACATAACCCAGATTGCAATTTTCAATGCCTATGTGCTTTATAAAAAGGAAGCCATAGGTAGACCATGCCCATTTCTAGAGTTTATGGTCCAAATTTTGTCTCAAATTATATTTGCCCAGACCCCAAATCCTAACCCTCCTTTGGAATCAGAAGATGTCCAACGACTTTTCAGCAAACATTTCCCTTCCCGAATCCCCTCCACACCCTGTAAAAGGTCACCCTAACGAAAATGCCGTGTTTGCTGGAAAAGAGGAGTCCGAAAGGACTCCAGTTATTATTGCCCCTCCTGTCCATCCCTACCCGCCCTCTGCATAACAGACTGTTTCAAAGTCTACCATACAGAGCTGAATTACTAAATCACTCTGTATGGTACTTTGGCAGTTTGTTTGCTTGATTTCCCTGGATTCCCTGACCTCGGCTTGTCCTGACTACGCTTCGTTAGCTGCCTGTAGCGACCCATTGGCTTGTTTTACCGACTACTCTGACTTCTGGATTCCCCTGACCTTGGTCTGTCCCTGTTTATGCTAGCCATTCTAAAGTGGCTAGACCAAACGACTCAAAATACTACATTTGTAGTACTTGAAATGTGCCTTCACAAAAAAAGCAAAAAACTAATCAAAAGGTTAATGCTACAGTATCTGAGTCAAAGATCTATCTGCCTCTCTCTGCCTTCAGATCAAAGTGTATGTGGGGGTACTGTACTATTCCTGTGATATACTAAAAACCTGGAAACATTGTACATGTAGGTATCGTTCTATTCAGATGACAGTGTTAAATTAAAATACTGAGGTTTTTAGTGCACTAACAAATACCAGGATTATGACATTTCTAGTGAAAATGCAATTTATGTGATTAAAACGACAAAAATAAAAAGTAGAAATTGCTACATGGGCCCATCATTTCTGTTAAAATGGCTAGACAAAACATCTCAAGGTCTACCATTTGTTGTACTCTGGGGTGCCTACTTTTGAAAATGGTATGCCATAACGGTGGAAATTGTATTACCCAGGCTGCCATGCTCTCTAAATAGCCACACAGGCCCAGCAAATCTCTTTGTCAAATTTCCAACTTTGAAATAGACATCTAATATATTCGTCCCTGTGACTTCCCCAAAAAAACAGAAAATCCAGTACATGGGGGTACTGTTATATTCAGGAGGCAATGTTAAAAAAAAATAGTGAGGCTTTGTTGCAATAACTCATACCAGGAATAGGAAATGTCCTGTGAAAAATGAGTTCATGTGTGGAAAATAGCACAAATAAAACTATTACCGCTGTGTGGGCCCTTCATTTCTGATAAAGTGGTTAGATCAAACATCTTAAAATGCACCATTTGAAATACTCTGGGTTGCCTACTTTTAAAAATGGTATGCCATAATAGTGGAAATGTTATTACCCAGGCTGCCATGCTCTCTCAAAGGCAAGATAGGCCCAGATAATCGCTTTGCCAATTTTCAATGTGTAAAACCAAAAATGGATAAGCGTATATTTGACCCTGTAACTTTCCAAAACCCCATAAAACCTATACATGGGGGTACCGTGGCGCTTGTGTGACATCACTGAACAGAACTAGGAGTGTTTCAGGGCAGTAAACTATATACTGACAATAATATTATCCGTACAAGTACAGTTTTTATGTGAAAAACGCAAAAAAAAAAAAAAACCCCACTAACTTTGGCTAGCGTTTATGCCCTCAAAGGCAGCCTAGACACAGCAAACTAATCTGACAAATTTCATTGTGAAAAAGCATAAATGGATAAGCCGTATATATGATCCTGTAACTTTCAAAAACCCCATAAAACCTATACATGGGGGGTACCGTGGTGCTTGTGAGACATCACTTAATAGAACTAGGAGTGTTTCGGGGCAGTAAACTATATACTGACAATAATATTATCAGTAAAAGTACAGTTTTTATTTGAAAAATTAAGAAGAAAAAAAAACACTAAGTTTGGCTAGCGTTTATGCCCAAGTGGCTACTACAAAAGACTGGGCATACCCCATTTTGAATACCCTGGGATGTCTACTTATTCAAATGGTATGCCATGATGTGGTAACTTACATTTCTTGGCTGCCATACAGTCTCAAAGGCAACCTAGGCCCAGCAAACCAATCTGTGAAATTTCTATGTAAAAAATAAATAAATAAACAAGACGTATATTTGACCCTGTAACTTTCCAAAACACTATAAAACCTATACATGGGGGTTACTGTTTTACTCATGAGACATTTCTGAATACAAATATGTTTGTTTTATTGCAGTAAAACCAAACAGTATTGTGACATTATCAGTTAAATTGACATTCAGAAATTGAAAAATATAAAAATTTCTTAATTTGTTTTAACGTTTTTAGATTTTATTCATATAAAATGGAGCTCTATATATGAATGTTTGATATGGAATGAAAGACCTGTTTCCCTTGAACAAACCAATATGTAATAACTGTGGGTGCATTTAATATGAAAGAGGTAAATTATAGTTGAACAGACATAGAGTCAAATTCTGTGGTTCGTTTACATTTTGTTTTGATCACAACTTGTACATTTGGCTCCGTCCTTAACCCCTTAAGGACACATGACGGAAATATTCCGCCATGATTCCCTTTTATTCCAGAAGTTGTGTCCTTAAGGGGTTAAGGGGTTAAATAAATTATGACACTGTGTAATATGTCATGTGTTGTTCATCTGGGCATTTGCCTGTCTCTTGGGTTTAGCTTGACAAAGACCTCTGTATAGGTCGCTCCTCTTCACATTTTTTTTTTTTTTTTACATTCTCTATTTTTAATTTTTTCAGTGCATAAGGTAGGCACATACAGGCCTAAGGTACACCAACGGCATTCCTCTGGCAACATATCATGCTGTACAATGGGGTAGACGAGTGAATGGTCATGGGCATATGTATACACTAATCACTCAGGAGTTTGTTTGCAAGGGTTACTTAAACATGGTCTATCATATCCCATATTGGTAATATCAAACACGCTTGTGCTGTGGTGCCTGTTACAATGTTGAAGTCATATGTCTGCTTAACAGTTTCTGCAAGCCTATAAACAGGTGTTATGTCTAAACATTCAGGATTGTGCTAGCATAGACTTCTTAGACTAGGTTAACAGGTGAGGGATTCTGGAACTAGGCAAATAGTATTAGGTTATACCAGGAGTTAGCTAACAGGCAAAATAACATCTAAGGAAATACAAAGTTCTCACAGTGTGTACGTGGGCTAAGGCTATAAGTAGCTTGGTAAGTCAGTCCACACACGCCTAGCTGATGCCTAGTCTGGAGGTCTTGGTTGCAGGTTTGGAGTGGATTTCTGGGTGAGGTACCCCTCCAGCCTCGGGTTCTTACAGGAGCCTGTACCACTGTACCCTGGACTCTGTGCCACTTTGGTGCCAAGTCCTTCCGCGGTGGGGGTCTGCGCAGGGTTGCTACCCGACGCTTCATCATGTGTCTTGCATTCCTCCGCAGGTGTGGATGGTTATGGGGGGTCAACCCCGTGTGGATCTAATCCCGGGCGGGACAATAGTGGAGTATGGTGCAGTTGTAGCTTTGCCAGGTTGAGGTCTTTCCAGCAGCACCCCATTGCTTAGCCCTGTACAGGACGTAGCCCTGGCCGGCCGTCTCGTAGTGGGTACTTTGGGTTTGTTACTAACAGGCTGTCTCCTACTCTCCAGTTGCTTACAGAATCGCCTGCATACATCGTCGAACTTTGCTTGGAAGGCTGCTGCCCAGTCGCTGGAAGTCTGTTTCACTGTGTGAACCGCAGTGCCGTCTTGGCTAGGCCTTGTGGCTCTTGCATGTCTGAGTTGCGTCCTGGAACATTTCTGAGGTGAGTGCTCGTCACGTGGGGGCGGCCTGGGATGACCCCCGCCGGTCAAAAAAGGGCGGAACGAGGGCTTTTTGTCAGATATGCAGCTTGTCGCGGTGTCGGGAAAGCATCTGTCTCTCTCCCGCACCTGCCGTGCGTGTAGGCCTCTGACTCTTGGAAATTGGGAGGTGCTCTTAATGTCGCTTGGGTAGTGCCTGCTTGTTCCTCTCGGTGTCACTGCACGTTTGGTGGCCTTTCTGTCGCGCTTTGGCAAAGAAAATCCGCATGCTTTATTTTTCAAGGGCATTAGCTAGTACAGGCATTGACAAATTACAGTTTTTGTCATGAAACATAAAAACCCTAACTTTGGCCAGCATTTGGGACTAAGTGGCTACTACAAAAGACTGGAAATACGCCATTTGGAATACCCTGGGTTGTCTACTTTTACAAATGGTATGCCATGATGGGGTTAATTTTAATTCCTGGGCTGCTATACTGTGTCAAAGGCAACATAGGCCCAGCAAACCAATCTGTCAAATTTCAATGTGCAAACATGGACAAGCCCTACATTGGACCCCTGTAAGTTTGCAAAAACCCATAAAACCTGTACATTGGGGGCACTGTTGTACTAGGGAGATGTTGCTGAACACATATTGGGGTGTTCTTTGTCAGTAACACATAACAGGAACTGAGAATCCATGCCTAAAGTACAATGTGAGAGAAAAATAACACAAAAAAACTACTACCTAAAAGTTTGAAAAAGACTGGTGGTAGAATTAGTGCATGGAAAAAATATGTTAAAATACCACCATTTGAAATACCCTAGGGCAGGGGTAGGCAACCTACGGCACTAGTGCCATGCACGGCACTCGAGGTTTCTTTCCACGGCACTCAAGGCTGCTAGGGCCAAACAGGCTCTGGCCTATCAGGAGTCTCAGTGAAACTTCAGATATCTGCTAATACGAAAAGGTGGTGAAGGAAAATCCTCAATTTATGCATTGCAGAACGTAGAGGAAGTGATCTCAGATCAGTTCCTCCCAGCACTTGTGAATAGGAATCCACACTGTAGTAGAGCAGCCTGCCGCTGCTGTTGCAGCTCTTGACCTGTATCTGGCCAGCCTGGTCCCTACTGGAACCCAGGGAAGCCACCCACACAGCTAGATATCCACAGACCTGCAGAATAAGCCTCCCCTCATACAAATAATACGAACAGCTCACACATAAACATACACATAATCCCCACAAACGCAACACCGCTAACAATTCACATACATGCACACAATTCCACATGCAGCCTCTCACATGCAATATCCCAAACAGCCCACACACACTACCAAACACACAATGTGACATATCCATCCACACACAATTCCACAAGCAGCCCTCATACACAGCCCACATTCATGTGTATACAATATAATAGTTCATATACGCACAAATACAATGATACAAAGCAATTACAATAAAAATAACAACAAACAGAATTCGGCAACATACACACCTGGCACGCTACGGGACATCACTATCCTATATCGGCACAGTGCTGCTAAAAGGTTGCCTACCCCTGCCCTAGGGTGTCTACTTTTCAAAAATATAGGGTTTGATGGGGATAAATTACATTGGCCAGCTTCAAAAATGTTCCAAATAGGACATGGGTGCATGATGACCAGCTGTGAAAATTCCAAGTTGGAAAACTGGAATGTGCACCCTCCAAATAAGGTCTTTTAGCCCCCAGAGAACTCGACAAACCTATACATGAGGGGTATCACTGTACTCAGGAGATTTTGCTGAACACATATTGGGGTGTTCTTTAGCAGTAACCCTTAAAGTTCTCCGTACATGTATTCTTAAATTGCTATGTGTGTCAAAAAAATCACCAATCATTATTATTTTTTTTAAATTTGGCATAGATTGGTGGTAAAATGGTTGCATGAAAAGAGTCAAAATACCCCAAGTTTAATAACTTAGGTTGTCTTCTTTTTAAAAAAACAAATATACATGTGAAGGGTTATTCAGGGATTCCTGGCATTTATCAGTGTTACAATGTAACTTGTGTTAATTTGGAGAAAAAAAAAAAAGTTTGGAAATAGCAAAGTGCTACTTGTATCCTATAGCCCTATAACGTTACAAAAAAAACTCAGGACAAAATTTTGAAACTATTTTGCATGGGTGTTTTTTGGTAGTTGTAGATGCTTAACAGATTTTGGGGGTCAAAGTTAGAAAAAGTGTGTTTTGTTAAATTTGTTTCATCATATTTTATAATATCATCATAGTTAAAGGACCACTATAGTGCTAGGAAAACATACTCGTCCGGCTCTGGGGAGAGGAAAGGGGTTAAAACTTACCTTTCTCCAGCGCTGGGTGGCGGGGAGCTCTTCTCCTCCTCTCCTCCCATTCGGCTGAATGCGCACGCGCGGCAAGAACTGCGCGCGCATTCAGCCGGTCTCATAGGAAAGCATTTACAATGCTTTCCTATGGACGCTTGCGTACTCTCACTGTGATTTTCACAGTGAGAATCACACAAGCGCCTCTGGCGGCTGTCAATGAGACAGCCACTAGAGGATTTGAGGGCTGGATTATCCCATTTATAAAACTGCTATGTTTATAAAAAAATGGGTTAACCCTAGCTGGACCTGGCACCCAGACCACTTCATTAAGCTGAAGTGGTCTGGGTGCCTAGAGTGGTCCTTTAATTATATGATGTGATGAAAATACTGGTATCTTTAGAAAGACCATTTAATGGTGAGAAAAACGGCATATAATATGAGTGTGTACAGCAAATGAGTAAGAGGAAAATTACATCTAAACACAAACACTGCAGAAATGTAAAAAGAGCCCTGGTCCTTAAAAGGATACTCCAGGCACCCAGACCACTTCTGCCCACTGGAGTGGGCTGGGTGCCAACTCCCACTACCCTTAACCCTGCAAGTGTAATTATTGCAGTTTTCAGAAACTGCAATATTTACCTTCAGACAGCCACTAGAGGGACTTCTGTGCTCTTAGAACACGAAAAGTGTGTTGTAAGATGCTGGACGTCCTCATGCTATGTGAGGACCTCCAGCGTTGCCAAAACCCCCATGGGAAAGCATTGAATAATGCTTTCCTATAGGGAGGTCTAATGTGCGTGCGCGGCCATTGTCTCCCGGAGAGTAGGCGGCGCTGGACTCTGGTATGTCACTGAAGTGGTTTTAACCCCTTCAGCAACTTGGAGCCATTTTGCCCTCAGATTTACAATTCCATAGTGAATTCACAATTCATTTTACTGAATATATTAAAATTTTAAAGGGACTTTCCAATGCCAGGAAAACAAATCTGTTTTCCTGGCACTGCAGAATCCTGTAGTGCCCCTCTCCCTCCCCAAAAAAACCTTAAGTGACTTACCTGAATCCAGCGCAGGGTCAGGCTCCACCCATGCTCCTCCCCTGCCACCGTCAGCCGGCGGCAGGAGAGGAGCGTGGGAATGGCTGCGTGCGCCTTAGACCTCCCCATAGGAAAGAATTATTCAATGCTTTCCTATGGGGATTCTGACGACGCTGGAGGTCCTCATGCACAGTGTGAGGACGTCCAGCGTTATTTAAAACACTTTTCGTGTTTTAAGAACACAGAAGTCCCTCTAGTGGTCTAGAGGAGGACTTAACCCTGCAAGGTAATTATTGCAGTTTATAAAAACTGCAATAATTACACTTGCAGGGTTAAGGGTGGTGGGAGTTGGCACCCAGACCAATCCAACGGGCAGAAGTGGTCTGGCTGCCTGGAGTGTCCCTTTAAGTAGTTTATTACTGCTACAAGAGTGACAATACTTGTAGATACTTTCTTCAGCATATGATTTTACCCTATTTCACTGACTGATCTTTTAAAAGTCAGCAGATTTACCCACCATATTCAGTATACTATAACAATGTGAATAATACAAAGTTAATATATAAAGATAAGTAAATATCCAATTGCTGGCAATTTGCAAAGAGTAGTTGAGGAAAAACTCTGGCTATGCAGCCACTTTAGCTACAACTCACATCATGCTCTGTTTGGCAAATAGAATGTCTCTACCCTAGTCTCAACAATGTTCTTCACTAAATTAGGAAATACCTCCCAACAATCGGATGTGGGAAAGGTGGGCCTGCCTGTAAAGGATGACTCATAAATGCGCCGGTCGCCACTCTACCCCACTCAGGGCAGCCCATAAGAGTGCTTCTGAAAACCTCTATGTATGGGCCCAATGCTTGGCAGCACTTTTCATAGGCTTGCTCTGCAGTGATTGAAGACACTACCATTAAGCAGCGTACACACCTGTCCTATAGGGGCGCTTATTTAAAGCACTTACGTGCGGGTAGATTACTATCAGGAGCTTTGGCTAGTGTCCTTTCTAGTCCAGTCAGCATCCTATGCTTGATAGCAGAGCTGCAGGAACAGGTATAGAGAGTGTAAAAATCAGTGGTGTCACAAGTGCACTTCCCATGAGCGCACTAACAACAACTCACACAGGAAATGCTTGCGTGGGAATCTCTGAATGGTGCATGCTTTATATCAGCTCCTGCTGCTGTGGTTAGTACTTGGCAAATAATCCATCAAACACCATATGCCTGTACCCTAAACACTTTATCCTAAATTTGACAAATTTGACAAATCCAAAACCTAAAAACAAACTTACCTTCAATTTTAAGAACTCAAAGCCTAAACCTAGAAAAAAAGATTTCACCTTAACTTCTCTTAAAAATGAACACATGTACCAAATACTAAATTAAGCCCAATAATTCTAAACACCCCTTATATCACAAATCTAACGCCTCTCCATCTTTTAACACCAAGTACTGCGTGTAATCTAACCCTGGCACATCCCATCTACCACATTTTACCTTACCATAACCACTGCATGCATTTACACAGCTGTGTACAATCACGATACTCACAGATTCAAACACAATACAAATAGAAATATGCATATGAATACACATATACATTTGCAATTGTCAACTTTTAATATGGTTTTTTTTTATGCCTGCAATGTCCAGTTAATAAATGAAACTCACATCTGATTTGGAGAGGCGGTTAGTAAAAAAAAAAAAAAACCTGTAAGCCTCCTGCAAGAATTACGTGGTATAGCTTTGAGCATCTTTAAAGAACACTGTAAGCACCATAACCACTGCAGCCTGCTGTTGTGGTTATGATGCCAGGTGTGTTCTGACACCATCCTGCAGTGAGCTGGTAAACAAGATAGTTTTACAACTTACTTGAGTCCACCACATCCGGTCTTCTCCAACAGGAGAGGCAAGATTGATCTAAGCACTATTCAATGGGGCAGTCCTGCATCAGCTGTGCTTAAAGTGACACTTCACTGACCAAACACAAAAAAAAATAAACACTGTTTAGTAGGTATACCTCAATGAATCAATGCATTTTTTTTCCATTTGGGGTTATATCTAAAACCAGCTTGCAAAACTGCAGATCTCTTGTCTATAGCATTTGCAAGCTCTCTCCTTCTCCCCAGCCAAGACTTTCTGTGACTGTAGAATTGCAGACTTCCCAGTGCAGCTCAATTAGAAAGCTTTGCAAGTCATCAGCTCTGGGCAATTGTTGTGTCTTGGATTTAGCGCCACTGAGCTAAACAATCAAGATGTAATAGGATCTTTTGCCCGACTGACAGCCAAGGAAGGGAGGGTGCCACGTGCTATTGAAATCTGCACTTTCTATAAAATGGAAAAAGAGAACATACAAAGCACTTCAGCAAGCACTCAGTGTCCCTTTAACAGTTATGATGTTTTATCCTGGGAAGGTGGAAGGACACTCTTAGCACCATAACCAGTATAGCAAGCTATAGTAGTTATGGTGTAGTGTTCCTTGAACAGCAACTACAATTGTCAAACTCACCATGTTTTTTTTGGACATACATCACTTCTACGTACAGTATTGATTGACATCACTCATAGAGGACTGCTCTGAAATATGTAGGATTACCTAAGGCTGGTCCTAAGAGAGTAACTGAATTCATTTCTGCAACATATGAATGCCTCATACAACAGTGCAACACGGTTTTAATATACTGCCCTTCAACATGGTTTAGTGATGTGTGCCCAGGAAAATATGTTGGTTTTGGCAAACCTAACTACATCTCGCTATTGTATTACTACTCTTATGACCCCCAGCATCCCCCTAATAATAAAAGCTGGTCCTGCTGGGCTGTGTACAGTCCCTGAGCAGGATGAGGGCTACAGAAGGGAGGGCCGTGGGGACAGGCAGCAAAGCGGGAAATGGTGGGTGTGACTTCAGGGCCCATGTTAGCTCCTGACACAATCCACACTCACACAGGCAGCTAGAAAGCAACCATCGCAGTAATCCCCAGAGAGCAAATTAATGTAAACATTAACCCGCCCCGTGAATGCATCCGCTGACTCCCACAGCCTTCCCCAATGGAAGCCCTTCCACCCCAAACTCGCCTGCCCGAGCTGTACTCTCTGGCCTCCTCCTACCATATTAACACTTATTAACTCCCCGTGTCCCGGGAGGGAGCAGAGGAAACACCTGCACATGTTATGTAACAGATAATGCTGAGGGCTAGTAAAATACTTCTATAGCTTTATAGCTGGAGGCACAACTATGCTTTACAATTATTATTTTTTATTATCACCACACAAAGCCCTGGGAGTGTAATCATTCAATCCATTTTATTATAATACCTTCTGTTTTCTTGTTTATATTATGTTAACTTTGAAAAATAAACAGTGACTATTTTATTGTATTTCACAAAAGTATCGTGTATGCATGTCCACGTTATGATTGGGCTAAAAGAACCACGAAATAAAAAAACCGACAAAAACTATAACCGCTATTTTAAAATGTCGAGTCCCAAGTGATGTAAGTTTTGGCATTACTCTCTTGTATCAGCATCAGCACCCTACAGCACACATGGCTATTTTCCCAGTATAGACTTCATGCTGGGACCTTCCCAGAACGTCCAACAACGCGTAACAGGGATTCTAAATGGAATGTCGCGGGTTAACTACTGCAGATCGATAGGGTATAACATGAACAAGCACACTATGAGTAAGAAATGACGATAATAATGAGAACATCCCTATTCACTGGATCTTGGACTTGCACTTGCAATGTGCGTGCTGCCCCCCACCCCTTTAGCCCCTCCTCTGCCATCTATCCCGCCACCCTCCTGTCTACTTCCTCAACACCAATTCGTCTTCATCTTGTTGTTTTTTTTTTTATTGTTATTACTTTTGACGCAGGAGAAAATTGCTATTTTAAAGTACGTCATTAATATGGCGCCAAAAAAAAAAAAAAAAGCCCTTAAACTCCATTTCATTTTTTGTAAAGATTACAGCCTGCTGTATTCTACTGGTGTGTACGGGAAGGAGAGGGGGGAATATTTACAGAAACAGATAGATTGGGGGGAAAGGGTAAGTAGTGGAGTTGGGAAAAGAAAGCTAAATGGGGGAGCAAACTTAAGTTAAGGTAGGGTAATAAAGAGACATGCTAAAAGACTGAAAAAGAAACAGAGCAAGGAAGAAAGTAAAAAAAAAGAAACATGACAGAGTAAGAAGGGAGGATAAAAGGGCAGAGAGGGGTGTGAATAAAGATAGGAGGGAAAGGGGCAAAAAATACATTGTAGAGGAGTGGGCTGTCAGAAGAGTGAGGGGAGAAAAAGTCATGGGGAGGTAGAAGCATTGCGAAACCAACCTGATCTGACTTGCAGTGCAATCCGATCCTTAGGTTTAGTTTTTTTTAATGTCATTATATCCTGACCTGCACCAGACAGATATCTGTGATTATATTCAATGTAAAAAGAAGGACACGAGTTCTAACCCTCCTACCTGGATCTCCAAATTAAAAAAAACAACCCCTTTGCTTTTCTTCAGCATGAGACTGACATAGGATTGAGTGCAAAGTAAGCCTCCTAGCACCCACCCCCTCTCCAGCCGAGCAGCCCGCAACCATTCAAAGCAGCATAACACACGCACAGAAATATATATGTGTATCTTTTGCAACAGATCAAGGAAGTCTGCAGAAGAAGAAACAGAAGAGCTCGGGCAAGGGATTGAAGGATTGCACAGAGCGGCCATCACGTTAAACGTTCTATTTTTTTGGATGACATACATGGAGTTACTTTGTATCCACTCCTAGGAAGAAGAGGGAGAGCGAGAAAAGATCATCGCTGGCTACACTGTGTGTACTGCTATGCTGGACTTTCTGTGGAATGGTTTTATCTATTTTTTCACCTTAGGATCCTCCCCTATTTTAACGTGAGCTAATCTCAACAGTGAGGACACCCCAAACAGCAAGGTAAACCGATAACCCTCCATGTCGTTTTTTATTATTTGTGTTGTTTCTTTGCAGGGTGCAATTTAAATGGTTGATCTTTCTACTCCCCGCCCCCTGATAGATGTAGTTATTGAGGATCTGATCGCCAGGGAGGATTATGTTTTAGGGAGCCCGATAGAGGTAGAAACTGTTCAATGAGGGGTGGGTGAGTGGCAGCAATAATCATTGCGCATGTTGGGCAGTCATGTTTAAAGAGTAAGAGGGTAGTAGTGTATTAACGGCAACTTTTAAAAAAACCTGGCATCTGCGATTTACCAAAAGACGTCTTTATTAATGACTGCAGCAATGTGCACACAGGCACCTTGCCATCTCGCATCTTCCTTGGCATCGCGTAGGTCATGTTTTTTTCTCTGACATCTTGTTGGCAGCTGAAGGCAGGATGCCAATGTGACCAAGACAGGGGAAAGTGCAGTTTCAGGTTTTACAGCACGCTGCCTGTGTATTGCACAGCTCACTCCTATATCATCCACCCCCTTTCCCTGTGGCATGGGGTTTTTATTCCATAGCACTTTCACGTGTGCCCAACATTTGCATATTCTAGAAAACACCTTATGCCATTTTAACCTACGACCATTTGCAACAGTCCGAGTATACTTCATGGCTTATCAGCAGAGTGGGTCACACGGACTCTTGGCCAAATAACAGGGATTAAAGTAACATTTCATCATTTTAACACCATGTCTTGGGATAAATAGAATGTCAGAGTTTGCCATCTTTCTGATGATTCCAAATGGAAATATACAGCTGGTTCTGTGCTGCACGTTGGGGGAGAGGGCTGTAGGGGGCGTGGCTGTTGTTTACCTTCTGAAACTCACACGGTTTCCATCCGACGCCTCTGGGGGCGTCTCTGCTTCTCTAGATCAGCAGCAGCAGCTCTCTGTATAAACATTTCTCACTCCCCTTGCTACACACCAAATAAAATGCAGTCATCATCTCGCTAGCTTCTGCGTGGCTCTGGCTCACTGCTTGCACATGCACAGGTCTCTGCACAGTCATCAGAGCACTCCCTCCCCTCTCACTCTCTGAGATCAGATAGTAAGGTTTGGAAGGCAGGGCTTCATTAACGGATTTTGGATTCTTCCACCGCCTTTTATAAAGTAGAATTATGGACCTGCGTACAATATAAATAATGTATGCTCCCCAAATACTGAGGACAGGTTGCCATCCTTTTAAATCTGCAGAGCAGGATATCAGCCCATCCATAATCTCAATATTTTCTCAGTGGTATGTTAATGTAAATCATACTAGTATTAAGGCCCTCTTTAATGTAATTGTATATACATATATACACCCCTCCCTCTTGAAAACCAACATATGTTTTGTTCTGAGATGCCTTAGGTGGTGTGGATACAGGTGAAATGGGACACCCTGTAAAGCCAAGCTATCCCTGATAAGTGGTGTCATGTGGCAGGACCTAATGACCTGTCATTTGTACGTCTATTTGGTCCACATCACCCGCTGTAATGCCTGTGAGTTTGCAGGTGATTTAATTCCTGTATGTGCTGGATTGCTATATTCTATGGCACCTGGGGGATTCGAGTATTCTCAAATCTCACTGCATATTAATTGTGCATCCCATAGGGATGCCTTAGCATCATTTAATGTGCTTTTCCAGCCATGCAAGTTGTTTTGTTTAACCTAGCATATCATTTTATACCCTCAGCTCCACCGAGCTTGCCAATAACTCAGTTCTCCTCCCTTTGCCAGACTACACACATTATGCACCCCATCCCCAGGGTTGCAGATCTCATCTCCCCACCCCAGGGCTGCAGTGACATGTTTTACACAGAGCTATAGTTGGCCAATCACAAGGCATTACTCACATTCTACAGTATCTGAGCCTGTAAGAGCTTTTCTGTAATTGGAGTTAGCAGACAAGCTGACATTGGCTGTGGACAGGAAGGTGTGTGTGTCTGGCTTTAGGTGCATTAGGGAAGCATTTATTTTCCATTGCATGTTGTACATAGTGTTTACTGTAGTAGAATGACAGAGAACGACTGCTTTAAATGGAATGTCAGTGATTTTGGCTCTCACATTGGAATAACTAGGAATCTGTTGCAAGTAATCATCCTGTGAATATGAATTGTTGTAATCTAGCTTGTTTTATTACAAGTCGTTGACAATATATTTCATTTTGTAAACAGATTATGAAAGTTTTCTGTTACATTTTATGAGTGAGTTTGCACCAGCATGAGCACACCTTGCTCAGTGGATCCTTTTACAATAGGTTAATATTGCTTTTCTGAAGATGTGGTCTTTTAAAGTAATTGTACTGTTGGGCTTTAAAACAATACTAATTGTCAACGGATGTTAAATTTGGTAAATTTGCGTATGTAATTGAACAGCTGCAGAAGGCAGGTTGTCCGGGTCAACTGTGGATACAGGTTCTGTCAACAGCTGTTCATCATGCCTCCGTTTATTCTCCTAAAACACCTCTTGAGAACATTTATTTGTGTGGCCTGGAATTGGAATATACTGGATAGGTTAATCTGAAAAAAAAAAATATATATATATATATATATATATATATATATATATATATTCTAATCTATTACATAATTTTTCATATCAGTTTTTAACAATCTTAGCATATGGATTTAAGGTACTACTTTAGAGATGTGTCAGAAATTAATATGTGCAGAGAGGGATTTCACCATCACTTTCATCAGTGCTGCAACTGGAAAATGATGCAAAGAATATTTAATTATAAATAGATGTACCCTCCTTCAAGTTATACTAATTGGTGTCATGATAACAAATGGATTTTTCACGGTTTATTTGAAATTATGTCTTACATATGAATTGTGTTTGGAAGCGAGAAAGCTAATTCGATTTTAGTTTAGTTTTACGGAGCAACATTGTGAAATAAGTACTTAATTTATATGCATTTTAATTACTTTTTAAGATTTTGAATTCAAAGCAGTGATACACCTATAATCAAAAATGTATCTTCCAACTCTATTACACTTGGAGATAAGCTGTCTAATAGACAGCAACATTTTGTTATGCTAAAAGTGTCCATTCTTCTTCTATTTATGTGTTTTGAATTGAAACCGCTAGTAGAAAATCCGACAACTTTATAGAAAGCCTGTGCATGGCAGTTTTGCACATTTTTGCAACTTGCATACATAATTCCAGATTTGTGAGGTACAACCACAGTGGAACCCTCTTTTGGATACTCACTTGCATGGCTGGATAATGTTGTACATAATCTAATTGAGTTTTAAAAGGCTACCATTTGGTGTGCAACACTGATAACCGTTAATGAACAAGGTATAGCACATTTGCGATAACTAAATAATCGATAAAGTAAAGTTAAAGGAACATTATAGGCACCTAGACCATATGTCTAAATGCCCACCCTCCTGTTTTAACCTTGCAGCTGGAAACATTGCCGCTTCTTTGACAGGGGATGTAACAAGATTTATTTATAAAAGTGCCAAATTTTATGGAAATCTGCTATATTTGTTAAATAAAAAAAAGAGAACACACTCCCTAAGTTGAAGTGCATTAGAGGTCTAGACTGTCCCTTTAACCCCTCAAGGACACATGACATGTGTGACATATCACGATTCCCTTTTATTCCTGAAGTTTGGTCCTTAAGGGGTTAAGAATGGTTTGACAACTTACCTGCTGTGCCTTGCTTTCTCTGTCGGTAAAAGCTCTGCCACCAAGCTATGTCTGAGTGCTGTGCTCAGTGACTGACAGTGCTCCACAAACTCTCAGGCAATGAGCCGGTCCTGCATTGCCAGGTTTAGCACAGTGAGGCTGACACATTCTCCTTATAGGAGCGTCCAGCTCTAAGAGAGAAAGTGAGTCCAGAATGCATAACTGTATTTACATAATTCTGTAACAAAGGAATTTCATATCTTGCCAAATATATTTAATTTATAGTTGTAGCATTCTTATTTATTATTTCCATATGCTTGAAAGGCTACTCCACACCTTAAAAGCACGTTTGCATGCTGACGTGCTTTATGGGTGAGGAGTAATGTATGTAATGTAATTTATAAAAGTGCTTATTTCTATGAGGTTTCTATGGTTATTGAGGTTTGCACACTCCTTCATAACGGAAGTGACAGGCATGCTCTACCTGAGCCTGCCTCCTCTAACACAGACCTTAGATCAGGTCATCCAGCAACTCCAGACCTCAGACCAATCTTGGACACATACTTGAGGGCCCCAATTTAGAAGTTTCTTAAGGATTGAAAAGTAAACAAGAACTGCAACCTTTTCAAGCCCCTTTAACCCCTTAAGGACCAGCCTGTTTTTGCGATGTTGTACGTTAAGGACCAGAGCAGTTTTGACACTTTTGTGGTGTTTGTGTTTAGCTGTAATTTTCCTCTCTCTCATTTATGGTTCCCATACAAGTTATGTATTGTTTTTTTTCAGGACAATAAGGGCTTTCTTTACATACCATTATTTGTATCATGTCATATATTTTATTTAAAAAAAAAAAATATGGTGAAAAATTGAAAAAAAACATGTTTTTGGACTTTTACTTGAAAAATCTTTTACTTATCTAAAAAAGTTAATGAAAAAAACTGCTAAATAGATTCAAAATTTTGTCCTGAGTTTAAAAACACCCTGTGTTTACATGCTTTATTGTTTTGTTTTTTTTTTTTGCAGGTTATAGGCCTATAAATACAAGTAGGAAATTGCTGTTTCAATATATATATATATATATTTTAAATTTATCAATAGTGACATTGTAACACCGTTATCTGTCATAAATCCCCAAATCATACCTCACATGTACATATTTTTTTAAAGTAGACAACCCAGGGTATTCAAAATGGGGTATGTTCAGTCTTTTTTAGTAGCCACCTAGTCAAAAACACTGGGCAAAGTTAGCATTTATATTTGTTTGTGTGTTAAAAATGCAAAAAAACGCTAACTTTGGCCAGTGTTTGTGACTAAGTGGCTACTAAAAAAGGCTGAACTTACCCCATTTGCAATACCTTGGGTTGTCTTCTTTTGCAAATGGTATGCCATTATGGGGCTAATTCTCATTCCTTGGCTACCATACGCTATCAAAGGCAACCTAACCAATCTGAAAAATTTCAATAAAAAAAAAATCAAGCCATATATATATATATATATATATATAATATTATAAAAAAAAAAAAAAAAAATTTTTCACTGATTGCTTTATTTTTTAACTTTATTTTTGTCAACCGTCATAACGGTCTGGGGCTACTTACCTGATCGCCGTCGGTCCCCCGGCGATCAACGCTCCTCTCGGTCCAGGGGGACTACCTGTTAGCACAGACAGTCCCCCTGCAGGCAGATACACAGGTACCTGTTGCGGCCACGCGATCGAGTGATCACGTGGCCGCGGGATCCTGATCTGCCGAGGGGAGACTGCCCAGACAGACAGGCAGTCCCCCTGGACCGAGAGGAGCGCTGATCGCCGCCAGGGGACCGACGGCGATGAAGTAAGTAGCCCCAGACCGTTATTACGGTTCAGGACCGTCATCGGTCCCCAAGGGGAATTTTTCCGATGAAGGTCCTGAACTGTTATCGGTCGTCAAGGGGTTAAGATGTAACCCAATGAATACCTGCATATAAAATTACATGCGTGTATTCTTTGGGGTATATCTACTAAACAGTAATGGTATTTAAATATTATTTAATATGTAAGAGCAAATCACTTATTAATAGCTTACATCTATACAGCAGTAATTGCATCTTATATCCATCCAAAAGTTTTTCATAAAAAAGCTAAATTATTCAAGCATATGCTTGTGAATAAGGACCTGTTTCCCCCCTCTCATTTTTTTTGTCTCCATTACACTTTTCAATAAAGTTTTTGTCATGTTCTTGAAGTTTGGCTTTTGTTCTGCCATTTGTATACATGATCATATGAATGAATTTTACGTTAATGTATTAGAAACTTGTAAAAATGTATCCCTTAGTTTTGGTGAGTCCGGCAAAAGTTAATACCTGGCTATTCATTCTAAAGTTGCTATGTTTTTATGATAACGTAGTTCTAAAGCATATGTCATATCTGTCATTCTAGTGATTAACCCCTTATTTAGTTTAGCCTTTGGAAATACTTATTTTAATTTATGTGTTCATGTGCCGTAAACAGACTTTCTTCTGATCCAAAACTTCAGCAGAAAATTAACAAACCAGGTTCTCCAATAATGTTCATTATGAGTCATAAAAGACCTCTGTGCAGCAGTAGGATGATAATATTTCTTAGTTGGCAAAGATCTGTGCAGCATACAGAAAAAGGTACTCTGTTGCATATGTGACGGGAGTATTCGGAGATAATGCCGTACTGGAAGAACATCCCCTTTACTTTGTGCTGCTTAGTGGAGAGTCCTCCCTCTTTCCTCTCTGCAAAATACCTGCTGCATTATTCCAAATTGCCCATCTCCATCTATAATCTCCTGAATGCTGCCAAGACTTTAATCCTGGACCCTTGGAGGATCACTCGCCCTCTATGTTCCAACAATGGTTTCTAAGGGCAAGAAAATTAGAAGCAACATGGTTTTATGAAAGACTAACTAAATTGCCTTCATTTAATACAGTTCCACATTAAAGGTTACTATCAAAACTGAAATCAGTTGGTTTAGTTGAAAAATCAATCTAGGATAGAACACTGGTTTAACGATAGAGAGCAGAGAGTTTTCAAATTTAACAAAAGTGGTAAGTGGAACGCCTCAAGGTTCTGTCCTGCGTTCACTTCTCTTTAATCTGTTTATAAATAATCTTGAAGTAGGCATTTGCAGGTGTTTGCAGATGACAGAAAACTAGGTAAGTTTATACAGTTTGAACATGATATAAGGTCTTTACAGATGGATTTGGATACATTGGGGGACTGGGCAGGCATTTTGCAAATGAGATTCAATACAGATAAATGCAAAGTCATTTTTTTTTCAATAAAACACCCCACTAGTCGCCTATACAATAAATTAAATTAAAGGGGCAGATATGAGCTATGTTTTTAAAATCTAAGTGGCAGGTTTTGGCGAGTGACTGGACTGGACGGGGGGGGGGGGGGGAAGTAGAAGTAGTTGTCAAAGAAAACACTTAGAGAGAGAAAAGACTCTGTTTTGGAGAGAAGCTCTGTTTTGGAGTGATTAAGTTTAAGAAAATGTGCAGCGATAAAATTAAACATAACAGAGAGACAGTCAAGGGCGACATCCACATAGAAGTCATGGTGGAAGCAAAAAGAGCTGACGAGTTTACCAAGGGAGCCAGTATAGGTCGAGAGCAGTAGGGGAGTAAGGACAGAACTTTCGGGAACATCAACAGAGAGGAGTTGTGGAGAAGAGGAATCAGTGAAGTTAATTGCAAAGTTTGTAGCGGTCAAGTTAGTAGGAGACAGAGGAGCTACAGGGTGAAGTAGAAAGTTAAAAGTGCGAAAGAGATATTCGGATTCTCTAGAGTGTGTGGCTATGAGGTTATTGAAGTAGTTTTTTTTTAGACCCGGGAGGCGCTAGATCGGAGTGGCCGGCAGGAGGTGGGCGCAGCCGAGCGGAGCAGTGACCACCGCGGTACAGGAACTTATGTTTCCTGTACCCAGCCGGACTGAACGGAAGTGCTCACTGAGAGCACTTCCTGTCAGTCCGGCCGGGTACAGGAGACTGAATCTCCTGTACCACGTTCTGCACTGCTCCGCTCGGCCATGGAACACTGTGGGGAAGGGGGGGATGGAAAGAAACACTATGGGACAGGGGAGGGTGAAGAACACTATGGGTCAGGGAAGGGGAGGGGAAGAGCACTATGGGTCAGGGAAGGGGAGGGGAAGAGCACTAGGGGACAGGGAAGGGTGGTGAAGAGCACTAGGGGACAGGGAAGGGTAGTGAAGAACACTAGAGGACAGGGAAGGGGGGTGAAGAGCACTAGGGGGTAGAGAGGAACATTAAGGGAGGACACTAAGGTACAGGGGAAGGAAGGGAAAAGGAACACTGGGGTGGGGGGCACTAAAAGAGAAGAGAGAAGGAGGCACTAAGATACAGCTAAGGGGTGGGGAGGAGTGGAGTTCCCACCGCACATATATATATATATATATATATATATATATATATATATATACACACACACACACACACACACACTGCATCCACTACACAAACACACATTGATAAAAGGATTATTGAGTCACAAGATGAAAATATAATTTAGCTTCTTTACAAATCAGTGTTAATACCCAAACCATGAATATACAGTGTACTTTTGAGCACCAGTTTTATAAAGGATATTGCAGAAGTAGAAAAAGTACAATATTAGTATAGAGGGTAGAAAACATTAGTTATGAAGAAAGGCTAGAAACCTGTTCATTAGTAGGAATATACAACAGACAAAAAAGGTCACCCATTGAGACTTGAAGAAAGGTGTCATGGTCTTGAGCAGGTCAGATAAAAGACTTTGGCCAGAGTTAACGTTAGGTTCTTCATTGGTGAGTTTGGACATAGTAAAGGAACAGGAAACCTATAAATTAGATTAGAGGGAGAAGGAAAAATAGGAGAACCTATAAACGAAATTATAGGTAATGGATAAAAAAAAAATAATTAAACTATAAACGGAATTATAGGCAAAGGTAGATAGAACCTATAAATGAAGTTATAGGTAAATAGATAGAAGGTAATAATAGAAAGAGGATTAGGCAATATTCCCCAGTTAGGATATAATTAGTTAGTAGCAAACAAGTAAAATAGAACAGAACAGTAAGGTTTCAGAATTACAAGTAAAATAGTAGTTTAGTGAATCAGCCCCCTGTTGGATGGAGCACTGATACAACAGGTAAATAACACCTTGCAATATTAGTTAGTATTGAAGTCCATGTTAGTGTTATGCGGGGTGGTGTAGAGCAGGTTGGTTGTGTAGATCAGGGATGTATAAAGCAGGTCAGTAGCGTAGTTCAGGTTGGAATGGAGCAGGTTGGTAATAAAGCTGGATTTGTAGAGTAGTTCAGGTTGGAATAAAGTAGGCTGGTAACAAAAAGATGATAACTTAGATCAGGTTGGTTTTCAATAAGACGGTAGCAAAGAAGGTAAGTCCATAGGTATGATTGTAGGAGCCAGGAATAGTCTTTCTGGTTGACCATCAACTTCATTGTAAAGACCCTGTGTTGAGCAAGGTGTGGCGTGTGGCCTTTTTTAGGATTTGTAATGAATCCAGGCAGGTGAGAATGATGAAGGTAAGTTCAGTTCTAGTGGTTAGAGAGGCCACTAATGGTTGGAAACTAGAACTTGTTATTAAAGAAACAGAAACAAAAGAAACATAATTTACAGATTTTACTATTAACATGACGTAAAGTCATGATTTTATTAATGACACGGAGGCGAGTATTATGCTGCACTCTTTCTTTATTTACCTCAGCAGCAAAGAAAAATAACATTAAATCAGTATAAAAGAAACCAGTAAATAACATGAGGTATATCTTCCTAGCAACAGCAACAGCCAATCAGCATCCTCTTTATAGCATAATAGGCAATGTCCAGTATACTACTTCCTCTTTCTTGCGATCCCGAACAAGGACAACAAATCCAAATAAAAAGTGGGCTCCAATTAGAGGGTATACGAGCCTTAAACTGGATCTAGAAGTCAAGCTGGAATAGAAAAGAGAATATGGTAATATCCAAGTATAAAACTGGATTTATGCATAAATTCGCATTACATGAAATATCAGATTTATATATATATACATAACATGAAATTCAGTTTAGTCAAACCTTAAGCTCTTGACAGTCATTAACAAGGATAAAACCCAGTAATCAAAAAAGACTTACCGTGAAATCAACTTACCCAGAGAAGACCAAATCTCCAGGGATGGGAGGGAGGGATAATACTCGCCTCCGTGTCATTAATAAAATCATGACTTTACGTCATGTTAATAGTAAAATCTGTAAATTTTATTAAGACACGGAGGCTCCTATTATGCTAGTTCAAAGCTGTGAAATTATGTCTCCTGTGAAGTGTTGAATAGGTCTAAAGTAGAAATCATGGAATGTAGACTCTGAAGACCAGCCGCTCTCATAATATCCTCCAAGCGACAACCAATCGAGGAAGCCTTAGAAGCCATTGCCCTACGAACCGAATGAGGCACTGACACATAGGTATCAATACCTGCTAGAGACATAACGTATTTGATCCACCAGGCTAGAGTAGACACCGGAAGATGCGACTTTTGGAAGAGTTCCTGTTTCAAAGGATTCTGTAGCGTAGTAGAACGATGTTCACACACCCATTAATATGCAACAGGGCAAAGGAGAGATCTATCAGGGAAAACTGGGTAAGATAGATTTTAGAGGAGGTTTTTGTCCTCCGTGAAATGTCAAAGAGGACACCTTCTGGAGTAAAGGAACGAGCAACCACCTCATGAGCTCGTACGTCAAAAAAACCTCTTGCAAGAAACATAAATAAAAAATTCAAGACAATAGAGACGTCCCACAAGACAGAGTATCGTGGTAAGGGTGAATGAGCAAACCATATTCCTCAGAGAAGTCAATATATGACAGGATGTCAACCGACAGGCGTCCAATCAAAACTTTGATGGCCAGCAGAAATGGACGATCGTTAAGGTCCACAGTGCGATAGGCTTTACCTTCATCATAGAAGTCAGAAAAATGGAGGACAGACATAAAAGGAGCCGATATGGGATTTAAATTTATTTTCATGCACCAACTATGCCATCTGCTCCAAGCAGATTTATAAGCCTGTCTCGTGTTGGGTGCACCCTTGATAAGTTGGGGAGTTGATTGCGAAACTCCCTTGACCGACCAAGGTTCCCTGAAATAGACTACACTATGAGATGCAAGAGACCTTGGAGAACAAGAGGATGAGGTACACCATCTGGATCCTGAAGAAGGCACTCGAGAGATGGAAGGTCGATAACCATCTCCTGAAGAAAAGAGAACTATGGTTGGGATGGCGATAGAGGAGCCACGATCAACAGGTGCCGGACTGGCGATGTAGATGGAAAAGGCAAAAAATCATAATTCCTTGGAGAAAACATTCATAGCCAATGCTATCGGATCTGGTCTCCAACTGAAAAAACGGGGAAGTTGAGCATTCAAACGAGAAGCGAAAAGATCTATTTCCAATAGACCCCATAGGTTTCAGATGTCTTAGAAGACCATGGAATCCAATTGCCAGTCGCTGGAATCTCCGAGTTGGCGTGAATACCAGTCCGTCGTAGTGTTGGAAAGACCTTGAATATATTCTGCCGTGACTGAAATGCCGTGTCTCAGGCAAAATTGCCAGCAATCACGAGGCATGTAGGTCAGAATTTTGTATTTTGTGCCTCCAAGTGATTGATGTAGCGGACTGCTGACACGTTGTCCATCTTCAGAAGGATAGCGCATTGGGCTTGAGTTGGGGAGAAACTATGGACTGCAAAGGAACCGGGTGTTCCAAACAATTGATGTGGAGTGTTGATTCCAGGTTTGATTATCTGGAAATAGCTCTGCATTGAGCACCCCAACCGTGCAAACTTGCGTCGGATTTGATTAGCAAATCTGGAGCTGTACAAAATATGGTGTGCTTATTCCAAGCTTCCATGTGAAGAAGCCACCATTGGCGTTCATTCTCTGCTTCTGAGTCCAGAGTTACCATATCTGTGTATGATGTGCTGCCCTTGAGATGAAGTTTGTAATCCTTGTAGGGCTCGATAGCCAAGAAAACCTGTAGAAATGGCGTGTATAGATGCCGCTAGAAGGCCTAACATTCTCAACAGTTGTTTGAGAGAGAGTTGAGAGGTTGCTAGTGTTCGCCTATCTCCTTCTTTGTATTGGCTAATTTTGCCACCGGAGGGTGTAGAGTTTGAAGGGTAGAATCTACAATAATCCAATATAACCCAGAAATTGTATTTGTTGCGTGGGAACGATAATGGATTTCTCCCAATTGGTCAGGAAGCCTAGGTTCTCTAACAGAGTCAAAGTCCATGCAAGGTATGTCCGGATTAATTGAATAGACTGAGCCAGAATGAAAATGCCATCTAAATATATTATAAGATGTGAGCTTGGTGAAGCACCATGGAGCCGAAGACAGTCCGAATGGGAGGCACCTGAACCTCTATTTACTGCCCTACCATGTAAATTGCAGGAAGTTCTCGATCTTGATGTTGTACTGGGATAGGCACTGTGAGATATGCATCCTGCAGATCCAATTTGGCCATCCAATCTGCTGGTTGGAGAAGATCCCTTAAACAATGCTCTCCTTCCATCTTGGAAGTGCTGATATGCTCATAACTATTGAGCAGTCTCATATTTATTACTGGACGGATACCTTTGCCTTTTTTGGGAAACAAGAAAAGGTTGCTCACGTAACCCAGGGTATGCGCCAGAATCTCTACAATTGATTGTCCACAGAGACAAGGTCTGTGTCTCATTGGGAAAAACAATTTCCCTTGATGGGGAACATTGAACAAGTAGAGAAAGGAAGTCTATGCAATACCCTTTCACAGTGTGAAGAACCTAAGCATCTGATGAAATGAGGATCATACATGGGAAAAATGTGTGAGCCTGCCCCCACTATCAGTAAGAAAGAATGGAAATTGTGAAGACGTCTTAGGAGCACCTCTTAGGCCACTAACAATCCAGGGTCGGCCACTTTGTGAGAAGGAGGTTGGTATAGTACATTGTTCAAAGAAATCGGCTCGGCAAGTATTAGAGCCTTGGTTCTGTCTAAAAGAACTTCTGTTTGTTTAGCAGGACAAAGGAGCCCAATTCTTTTACAAAGTTGTCCCCAAAGAGAAAACCTTTTGCCTGTGTTATCTGGCTCGTTTGGGCTCAATCTTGAGCAAGATCGATTTGTGGCGTTCTGTGACAACCGCATTGTTGGCGTTGCCAACTTAAATCACTCTCTGGATCTAACCACTTAAGATGGCGCAATCTAATTCTAGATCATCCTCCACTGCTTCAAAGATCTTGGTTGCTGAGCCCAAGATGCCCAGGATTTTATCCTGACAGTTTTGCAATGAAAATCTAAGCCTTTAGATGGCTTCCATCCTGTCTTACTCAGGAATTGAATGCTTTTAGGATTGACTGATAGCGTTTAACATGAGTCATCAGGGACTGTTCGGCGTGGCCATTCAGCCCGCAATTTATTTCACTTTGCCTTCTCAAAAGGCTTGCGTACTCTGGATGCCAATATACTTGGCTACATGGTCTGAGGAGACCACTGGGTGACATAGGTCGTCAGGTTCGAATAGGGGTTCACATTGAGTGTCCAAGATCCTATCGGTGTCCCTGAGTCTGCATAATCTACCTAAATCTTGGTAGGTTTAACAGGACGTGTATCCCAAACGGGATTAGCATCCTCTTCATCAGTAATTTCATAATCAGGATCAGAAATATC